AATTATTAAAAATACATAAATAAGTTCCTGACAGAAACTTTCTTGATACAGTAAAAAATATTATAATAGAATCCACTAAGCAATCCCACTCATTACAAATTATGTATCTGTACCTATCCAGTTCATGTGTACAAATATGAAGTATATATACATATACTATGTGTATGTGTGTACATATACATTATGTACATGGCAGGGACTGTACATCACAGTCTAGACTCTTGGCACGTGTCAATGAGTAAATCCAAACTTGCAATTTAATGCAAAAGAAAAACAATGAAAAGCAAATAATCAAATTACAGTGCACCATATACAAAGTGGTAAGTACACTGGTCACAGTGGAGGTCAATTATGAAACAGTTTAACAGAGACTAGATTTTTCCCAATAAATTATCTACAGGGTATGAGAAAAAGAGGAATCAAGAATGATCCTAGTATGTATGACTTGAAAATTACAGGAGGAAATTTTTATTCAACCAAGATGGCAAAAACTATGGGTGAAACAAGATTTTCAGGACAATTAAGACTAGAGTTTCAGGCATTTAAATATGAGACACAAACTAATATCCCAGGGAGAGGCTGAACAGGCAGTGCATATTTGCATGTAACATTTCTGGACTGAAGGGCAGAGATCTGAGCCACAGATAACTGAGATGTTGGCAGAATGTCATAACTGAATATTTATTTAAGGAGAGAACTGGAAGGTTATTCATCAAGATTATAACTTTCATCACTGTGTGACTTGGTTTTGGGGAATTCTATATATTTTAAAAATATATTTCTGTATTGTATAAGAATTTGTGAAATGAGAATCATATCAACATTACAAACAAACTAAAAATACAGAAAAGTTTGCCATTTTTCAGCAGACATCTGTATAACAGACCTTCCTCCCAAGGCTCAGAGATCCAGGAAGCGGGAGCAGAGAGACTGCAAGAGCCAGAGGGAGCACATTCTGTAGTGAAACACTACTTGCTGGACAGACAGCACAATTTCACACATGAACTCACAGAAGCTGTGATTGCATGTCTAAGACACAGCCAGTCAAAATCCCAGCATGGATAGGGGCTCATGAAATCCCACCCTAGCTGAGGAGCTATTAGCAGCTGATGGCTGCTGGGGGAGGGAGAGTTAGTTTTCTTCAGTGAGGAGGCTCCTAGGAAGCTACACATGCTCCAGCAGATGGTCCCATCCACAGCCATGCACATTCAGACAACACTGAGTGAACTCAGGGGGTTCAAAGAAAAAAGAGCACATGGAGTTAGGAAGGAAAAGTGATCAAGAGGGTCAGAGGAGGAATTGGACATGAATTTGACTCTAATATTATTTGCATGTATGAGTATTAAATAATTAAAAAAACAAAATAAAAGTAAAAAATAGGTTAAACAGCCTTAGTCAAATCTAGTCATCTATATAGTCAACATTAGAAAATATAATGAAACGGAATCCACTGGAAACTTACAATATAAACATTCTATCATTTAACCGAAGAATGTATTCCATATCTTCATGGTTTAAAAATATAACAGTCTTAAATAAAACATAAATACAAGTTTAAAATAAAAATTTTAATAGATTTTTTTATACTGAGTTTAACAAATACCCAGAAATTATTTGCACCAAGAAATGAAATATTCCACAGTCAAGTGATATAAAGTGATTAATTTCCTTTTTGACTGCTCACAAAATGTTACTACTTTTGAATGTGTGTGCATGTGCACATTTATGTTCCATATATATTTCTTTAGCATCTAATGAATTAAGAAACAAAATACTGGACTTTTCTTTGTTATTTAAAGTGGCTCCAGGAGGAAAATAAGCAGTAGTGCTTGTTGTAATGTCCAAACTTTTGCAAAGGTTGTCCTGGGTGTCACAGTTCATCCATCCTACATTAACAAGACCATCCTAGTGGGAAATGGAAAGAAATAAATTCTGTGATGTAAATGAAAGAAAGAAAGAAAGAAAAAAAAAAAAAAGCAAAGAGATCTACCATTATGAGGAACTCAACTTTTTAAATTAGAAAATCACAACTTAAAAAAGAAACAAACTCCGGGGGCTGGAGAGATGGCTTAGCAGTTCATTGACTGTTCTTGCAGAAGACCTGGGTTCGATTCCTAGCACCCACTTGGTGGCTTCGAACCATCCTTAACTCCAGTTCCAGGGGATCCAAAGCCCTCTTCTGACCTCTGTAGCACTGCACGATATGGGTGCACTCGCATACACATAGGCAATACACTCATACACATAAAAAAAAAAAAAATAAACAGTAAAACAAAACCCTCTGAAGAGTACTTTATAATTTCAAACAAAATGTAGTTTTCTCCTCTTATCAAACATCTACCTTAAAAATTTTTTTATACATGTCTACAAAAATTAAATTTACATTTTTTAAAATAGAAAGCACATTCAATTCTACTAGGTTAAAAAAATCAAATTTTAGTTGTGTTAGGCTTGTCATTGTAACTGTACTTTCACTATCCTTTTACCAGGTGGGTATTTTCCATGGCTACAGTGTACATTTAAATAAGTACCTTGCCAATTTCACCTATTGATGGCTGAGCTCCTTTAATGAGCTCCAAAATCCTATATGAAAAGCACATTTCTTGAAACATCAAGTTACTGAAAACTTTTTCCAGACTAGGCAAGATGATAAACACAGAGGACTAACATGTATTCAATTAGGATCTCAAAAGCCAAAAAAAAAAAGCATGGGAAATAAGTAATAACAGAAATAGCTGAGAAGTTCCTATAACTTGGAAAAAGACTAATCTATAGATTCAGGAAGTACAATAAACACTACAGTAAAATAAAAATGATACTTATTCAATAATCGTAACAAAACTTCAGAAAATTAAAGACAAATACCTTAAAAGCAGATGGTGTTATATGTGAGCATTCATAAATAAAAATTAAATTGTACATTTAAAATATAGTATTCACTTGGGCTGGAGATGTATCTACCATGCTCAAGGCCCTGGGTCCAATCACTAGCATTTCATACAGACACATATATACACACAGATATATTCAATCACTGACTGTAAAATTAAAAGAAAGAAAGAAGAAAACCCATATAGGATTAACATACATGACAGCAAAGTTGGAAGAGGTGATAAAAGTATTTGTGTTCAAGGACTCTTGCCTTATCTAAGAACAGATTAGTCAGAGGTATGTAGCAATCCTCATGGTATACACAAAAAAGAAAGGATGAAGAATGGATTACTAAAGAGCTAGTAAAGGAAAAATGGGTATTAAAAGTCCATTTGATGAATCCAATAGGTAAAGTGGGCAGCAAGAAAATAAATATAAACTTAAAACACACCAAGACCAATTTTAAAATGTAAAAGGATTAAGATAAAGAAATTAACTAGATGAAAGTAAGACCTAAGTATATGCTGATTGCAGATAATGTACCTTACGTATGGAGATACAGTAGGCTGACAATCAAGAATAGAAAATTTAGGCTGGGCATGGTGGTGCATGCCATTAATTCAGGACTCACTAAGAAGGCTACAACAGGACAAACTTTTAAGAGTTTGAGGCCAACCTGAGCTACATAGCAAAACTCTATCTTAAAAGAAAAAGCATGTTATAACATGTCAACATGAAACAATCACAACACACTTGAAGGCACGAGTCATTATAGGAAAAGAATTCCACTGGGCAAGAGATTTAAATGACAAGGAAAATGTAACAATTCTAAATTAGTAGTCATATGTAAAGGCTTACAACATATGAAGAAAAAGTTAACAAAATAAAAATGGAGAAACAGAAATGCTCACAATACTAGTGGAGGTACTAAGACACTTCTGCAGGAAAGCTAAGATCCAGACTTAAAGAAGACTGGTAACAAACTTGACCCAATTCATCTTATAGTGGTATGCATCTATGAATTATAGAATTCACTTTTTCAAATGCACATGAATATTTATAAAAAATATTTTATGTTAGGCCATAAACAAGTCTCAACAACCAAAAATACTGAAATCATGTTCATTTACCCATGGTAGATTAACAAGCCTCAAAAAATTTAAAATTAAACATAGTACTAAATACTGTATGATTCAAAGGAAAGGTAAAAAATATTTAAAATTGACAATAAAAATAACACATATCAAAATCTACAATGTAGCTAAAGCTAATTTGTAGTACTTTATCTTTAACAGGAAAGCCTAACTATTAATGATTTATCTAGTTCAACACTTTAAAAAAAAAATTTATTATTTTTATTTTATATGTATGCGTGTAATTGCCTACATGTAGGTAAGTGCACCTATGTCGTGCAATGCCTGCAGAGGACAGAAGAGACTGTTGGATCCTCTGGAACTGGAGTTACGGACAGTTGTTAGCTGCCATGTGGGTGCTGGGATTCGAACCTGGGTCTTTTGCAAGAGAAGTGTTCTTACCCGCTGAACCATTCTCTCCAGCCCCTAGTTCAACACTTTTAGAAGAACAAATTAAATCCCAAGAAAGCAGAAGAAATAAAATGTAAAATTCAATGAAATATAAAACAAGTAGAAAACAGAAGACTTGTAGAATTCCGAATACAGATGAAAAGAGAACTCCAGGGATATAAGGAATCCTTGAACGTGTTCCCAAAAAATATTTGAGAGGGAAATAATTCCAATCTACAGGAACTTTACAGGAAAAAGAAACAAGCCTTGTCTTGCCAACTTTGTTTTAAGGCCGGCATATCCCTGATGCTAACAGTACAGAGTCTTTCCTGGCAAGGAAGAATGCAGGGACAATGGTTCTAACCACAAAGATCAAAATCAAGCAAACCAAAAAAAAAAAAAAAAGACGCTCATGCTCAAATCTCACCTTCAAATATTCTAATTTTTGCTGATCAGGGAAGACCTGGTTTTGGAGTAGCATTATAAGACCAATGGCCTAATCAGGGTGAAATAGGGAATGACACTGAAACACAAGTATATTGTTAGTGCTGTTAATATTAGATGAAACCATTTCTTAGAAAAAGTTCATAATGTACAAAGAGGAAGAGCTACCCAAAGGATAGAATGATCATGACCACGCAGCTACCAACAATGTCTAGGTGCTGCATGAGTGTTCTCTGGTGAGCAATGGTCTCTATTCGTATGTATGCAGTACTTCTATAAGGTTATAATGGAGCAGAAAAATCCTGTTGCTTAGAGAATTCATAGTTGAAGGGGAGGAAAAGGGAAATATGCGAGAAAAGAAGAACCTCCCAAAAATTCAATGAAAGGTTTTGTCAAACCTTTTGGAGACTTTAATAAGTTCTGTAGATATTAAAACATGCCTCTCCCCCCAAAACCAAATTAATAGAAATGTTCATGGTTGATTGTTTGCTTACAAATAAATCTATGATGAATAAACAAAGTGAGCAGATCACTGTAGACTGTTTCTGAAAAGAGGGTTATCTATCTCGGGCAGGTCCTTTAGGAGGACCCAAAGGTGGTATTGCTTTCATAGGAGAGGATGGTTCCTACATGCTACTGTCCATGGAGACCTGCATGTGGAGGTGAAGATAGTGATACAGACAATCCTGACCTGGAGCAGAGGTAGGTCAATGTGCGTTTGCGCACAGTAAGCAAATGTTACTTAGTTAAAAAAAAAAAAATTGCATTTATAAACTTGGTATAGCCAAGTGTGCAGTGTATGTAAAGTTTACAGTACAGTATGGACTCAGGCTTTCACATTCACTCACCCCTCTCTCACCAAAAGCAACATCTAGTTGTATAAACTCCTCACATTGTGTTACATAGGTGTTCAAATTTTTAGCTTTCATACCACACTTTTTCTATATTTAGATACACAAATACTTACCAAATGTGTTACAACCTTTTAAGAGTATTCAACACAGCAGCATGTCACACAGTTTTGTAGCCCAGGAACAACAAGCTGTATCATAAAGGCTATGTATAAAGCAGCCAACGTTATCTAGGTTTGTCTTAATGTATTCTATGATGTTTCACAATGATGAAATTGCCTAATGTATTTCTCAGGAATATTGTTGTCTTTAAGTAACATGATTATGAGATATATCACACATGTATGAATAACAGAAATAGAATCAAATTTTAGATGGATATTTTAAGATGCCCATCTCTTAAATTAAACAGTATAGAAATGATACAGGTATTAATAGCCTAACAAATTTGATCTAATAGGTATAAACTTAATACCTAACAAATGAAACTTATTTTCATTATCACAAAGAACTTTCCCAATTTTACAACTGACAAACTTACTCTCAGACCAGATAGGGAGCTTTACTAATATTAAGGAATCAACATCACATGCAACACATTTCCCAAACATTAACATGAGGTGAGCAAAAGAAATAGCAAATTAAACATGAAACAACAAAAACTCAAGTTTGGAAATGACAAAACACTAACATATAACTAGAGGAATTCATACTAAACAAAGAATACAAAAAGCGAGTATCAATGAAAGCACTCCATGTTAAAATTTACTGAACACAGCTAGTTGTTTAGAAAGATACAGCTATAACCACATTTATCAGGAAATAAGGAAGACTGCAAGTAAGTGGGTAAGTGTTCATGAAACTATGAAAAAGTAAGATGGAGTCAATTTCTAGATGTGCTTCTTTACATGGTTATAGTTTTATGAAAAGGATGGATACTTACCAACATGCCACTAAGCCTGAGTTGTGTCTGTGAAGTCAAACAATCTGAGGGGGAAAAAAATTTATGAGGCTTTTTTAAAGCTTTATCAAGCCTATATTTTCATGCCTTGCCCCCAAATTACCATTCTGATTCTATGGCACATAACTGAACTGTAATGGGAAATACTGATAGGTTTCACATATAGATATGGAGTTCAAAGTCTCATTTCTCTATCTCTCAAACCCATTAATTCATTCCCTCCCCTTAATTTCTCAGGATTTCTATCTACAGAGGAAAGAAACAAGCATCTGTTTAAGGTTTTATTTTCAAATTTCTCCTCTTATCTCCTTTATCCAAGATATTTCATAATTGAAAGAAATAAGATATAATGAATCTATCTAGAAAGGTATATAAAGAATCCTCAAAACATAATAAAATCTTAAGATAGGTTTTTTTACTATTTTTCACAAAGTTCTAGAGGCATGAATATTAGGCTTCAAGGAGGTCAGATCTGTTCTAACATAGAGCCTAGAGGCAAATGAAACAGTTAGAAAGTTCAAAGAGTTTGAGAGTGGATAACAGAAATTGCATTTGGCTAGAAGGATACAAAACCCACTACTCAAAGACTAAGTTTAAGGTTGATTTTGCTCAAAAATCAGTATTTTCATGTGTCTACAGGATGGGTGCATGGCTATTTTAGTTGTAAAACAATACACCTCCAACAAAGCAGCACAAAGGTAAGAGGTGAAGTTGAGAAAGACCCATGATGGGATTTAACACACCAAGTTTATTGCTAGTTAGGATATTTTATAATATTTAAGACCATTTTCAATTAATTTCATCGAATGTGGCTTATATTGTATAGTATGGCATGCAGGACACTGAACTTGATTTCACTTACAAAGGGAATAATCGTAGAAATGACACTGTCATCTTAGAGATTGAGTTTTATGAGTCAAAGTCTGTATTTCTAAAAAAAAAATTTAGGAGGTAATGTAGTTGATATAGCTAATTATTTCTCAAATTGCCCAATTTATCTATGGTTACCTGAGGTATAACTGATCATGAATATGACTGGGCTGAAAAATGTGTCTTCTAAATGTAAAATTATAAATGTTACTTTTTTTGCACATAATTTACTTATCTCGTGTAAATAACAAGGACGTACATATTAAGTAAAATCTTATAATTCTGGGCCTAAATTGTAGTTTCAAATAACTTATTACTGACAGAAAAAGAAAATCAATTATAGTAGCATGCTTCAAATTACTGCCTAAATGTCCTTGTCTTTCCAATGCTAACAAAATGACAAAATTACCTTTTCCTTTAGAACAGAATGTGATCAGCCAGCCAACACCAGCAGCAAAAGCAGTTTGTATGGAGTTAACAAAATTTCCTGTTGAGAGTTCTGTCACTGTGCTCCTCACATGCTGCATGGCAAAGCTCATTTTTTTTTTTTTTTTAAAGAACTCATCTGCTTCCAATCCATTCTAAATTTTATCCTTATTTTTAAGACATACCAATTACTTTGAGAAAACACAATCGGGTATGTAAAGCCCCTTTGATATGAGCTTTGTCTGTTATTTACTGGCTGTATTTCTCCACATCATTCCCACTCCACCCACTGCCATCTTTTGGATAGATTCATGAAGCACTGTTAATCTAAATAGTGCTCTCTGAGGCCTTTCTATTCATTCTGTGAGAAATTAGCTAGGATCTCTTTAAAGAAGCATATTCTAACCTTTCTTCTTTTCCTCGAGTTGTTTCATGTCCATTATGCATCTACAAAGTTACTTTTATCATAAAAGTTACTAACTTGCACTTCAATTGTTTACTGGCATCATCCTCACTAAAATGAAGTTGCTGAGGCTGAGATTATGTACTTTATTACTGACCACAGAGGTAAACATAGTTTCTGACACAGGACTGGTGCTGAATGAATGAAAATAAGACATCCCTTTAGCCAGAATACTGTCCCATGGATAGTTTCGATAGCCAGCCTAAAATCATTTAAGGAATTAAAGTCTAATATCAGAAGTGTTTTTGAACTTTAAAATGAAATGAACTTACCGCCTACATTTATGGAAGCAATAAAATACTGTACTACTAAAGATTCAGCTGTGACCTGAAAGATGCCTGTCACCTACTTGTCTCATAACCTTTCTCATATCTTTTATACAAATACTGTTTGTTCAATACATACTATTCAGCAGAAATCAGACCAATGACACAATTCCCTTCTAAGAAGCATGGAAAATGATCCTTCAAATTTTCAGTATTTTTACCAAACTGTTACTATTGCCATTAAACTCAAAATACCAACTTCAAAATATCCCTGAAAATCAAGCAAAGTAAGAAAACTCTAATTACCTGTTGAGAGTTCTGTCACTGTGCTCCTCACATGCTGCATGGCAAAGCTCACTAAGCTGTCCTTTGACCTATCTCCATTATATTTTACTGCAGCCTGTTGTTTTTATAGAAAGAAAAAATCTTTTACTTTTTCATTTTAAGTCTACCAAAATCTTTGACTTAACATTATTTTGAATAATGCTGAAGTGGTATTTCTCAACAACATAGTGCACTTACAAATGATACTCTGAGAATCTTAATAGTACAGATTATATGCAATACATTTTAAAACACTTTTCACAATAATTTGTTTCAGTTTTATCACTGGAAGTTAGAAAAAAGAAAATATTAGAGCTTGCCTGCATGTGTGTAAGTGCAGCTGTGTCATGCAATCCCTGGGGAGATCAGAAGAGGGAGTCAGATCCCCTAGAACTAAGTTATGGATGGCTGTTAGCTGACATGTGGGTGCTAGGAATCAAACCCAAGTCCTCTGCAAGAGCAGTCAGTGTTCTTAACCACTGAGCCATCTCTCCAGCCCCCTAGAGCTTTATATTTTTAAATGAGATAACACCTATAAAATACTTTGTAAACCATAAAACACAAGATGTATATTAAATGTGCTTTAAGACAGGAAGTGATGGCATCTAAAAGTTTCATAAATACAAAATGTTTACTATAACGAGTTAGCACCTTTAATAAGAGAAGTCAAAAACAGTCTTAACCATTTACATGCTGTTTCCTCCAGTATTTTACTAGTTATGAAGTTTTGCAATTCGAACAGTGCTAGCATTACTTACCATTCCAGATCTAAACATGAAGAGGCTGGGATAACTGTTAACTCCTTTCATTCGGCAAAGCATTCGATCATCACCACAGTTAACAGCTCCAATTCGAAGTAATCCATCCACTTCTTTAGCAAATTCTCTCCACTATAAAAAAAAAAAAAGGTATTTCTGTGATAAGACTTCTTCTCTTGAACATACTTCAAAACTATATAATCTTAAAAAAGAAAATTTTTATCAATTTAAATCATATGTAAAATTATTTCATAATTATTTGACAGTTATAATTATTAATAGAAAAAACCTCCCAACATATTAAAATTAAAAGGAGGAACAAATAACAGATAAATTAGAAAAAAGACTTTAATAACTGGGATATTAAAGGTACGTACAGTGGGAGCTAAATCATGGCAATGTGAGCATCCTGGGGAGTAAAAATTTACAAACCACAGTTCTCCAGAATTAACAGCAGCATCTAAAAGTACACAGAACATAATTACTAAAGGTTAAACATTTTAATTTTTGCTGAGGTCAGAATGAAAAAAGTGTTAGTCATAAACCTTTAGTATTGTCTTCATCATTTCCTGGGAATTTTTTCCACAAAAGCATTTTCTTTCAAATGTCAAGCCAATATAGTAACATTTTCTAAATCTTTCCTTTGCCCACACTGAAATAAGCAGAAGCCCTAAAACTGTAAAATCAGTACAGTTGAGAAGCTCTACAAGGGCTGGCACAAGGAAGCGGCACCCAAGCCTCATGCAGGAGTCTGCATGATGAGAGCACAAAGAGGAACTAGAGCGACTAAGAAATGCTCTCCTACGTCAAAAACAAGGCTAACGATGTGGTCATTAATTCTGATAGCTACTAAAATTTCTCAACAAAGCTAGACACCTGCACAATACAGTAAAGATTTGGGAGATTCAATTGACCCTTTTTTCCTAAATAATACCCTTCACTTGGAAAATCGTGTTGCTTGAAAAATTTAAGTTGGAATGGGAAGGGGAGAAGAGGGTGGAAATAATGTGAATCCAATACTCACGTATGATCTTCTCAAAAAATAAATTTAAAAAATGTGTGATAAGGATTCTGTCACTGTAAATAAATGGCAAAAAAATAGGCTTAAAAACCACATTAATGTCTACTAGCCATCAGCATGTATCTGTAAAATGACATGACGTAGATAAAGAAATGAAATGAAAGGAGTCAACAGTTATCCCAGCCTCTTCCTGTTTAGATCTGGAATGGTAAGTAATGTTAGCACTGTAAAATTTTAACTAAGGGAGCTGGAAGGATAGCTGAGCAGTCAAGGGCACTGGCTGCTCTTGCGGAGGACCCAGATTTGGTTCCCAGCACCTACATGTTAGTAAGGATGTACTCTAATTATCCTAGATAAAAAAGGTGAAGGCAATCTACTTCTGGTTAAGAGGTATCATATAATTCCATATCAAAATCACCTTCAGTAATTTTCTTTAAAAATTATTTTATTTATTATTTTTATTTTATGTGTATATTGCCTGCATGTATGTCAGCACATCTGTGCCATGTAATGCCTGTGGAGGTCAGAAGAGGATGTCAGATCCCCTGAACTGGAGTTACTGATGGTTGTTAGCCAACATGTAGGTGCTGAGAACTGAACCCAGGTGTTCTGTAAGAGCAGTCAATGAATGCTCTTAAACAATGAGCCATCTCTCCAGCACCTTTTGTCAGTAATTTTCAAATAAAATTTTCATCAATTACTGTAACCTGTGAAGACACATTATGCATACTGTGCTAAATGTTTAACTCACTGTTTAACTGGAAACATTCAGGACTAAGTGCTCACCTATATTTCAATAGCAAAGCAGTTCTGTGGGGAAACAGTTAAACTGTACACTATAGGCAACAGTGCACATTTTAGCATTTTTATCAATTGTTCTTTGGCAAAATTTACAAAGTCTGACAAACCATTTATCTAGATGATCTAAACAAATACCATGTTGGCTTAGACCACACAGGTAATAATTTAGGTAAAAACAGTAATAAGTTAACAAACACTTAAAATAGAAAAAAAAATCAACAAGTTATGAACAAGCAATGAGATGGCTAGCTACAGATAAAAAAGCAAGGGATAATCAGACAAGGTACCTGATGCTATCTATGTCTGTTCATAGGTTAGAAGTATGTCTAATATTGTACCCTGTTTTCACAGATCACTAACACAATTGCCTAGTTCTCACTGATTGTTTAGTAAGATTAGAAGATAATTCTTATTTCACTTATGTACTTATTTTACAAAGTTCTGCTATGTTGTCGAGGCTGGGCTTGAACTCGTAATCCTTCTGACTCAGCTTACCATGCAGTTGGAGTCAAAGGGATGGGCCACTGTGCTGGGCTAAAAGTATTTTTAAAACTGTGTTAACATAGCACAATGAAATGCTTTTGCATAAGTCCAGAACAGAATAACTATATTTCAAAATGCAAATTTCTTCTAAATTATAGAACCATAGTATCTACTAATATCTTTACAACAGCTACTACTACCACAGAAATATGTAAGAAAACAGAGAATTGTCTTAAGTTCCTCTTTCTTGTGCTATCTTCAAAAGGATACCTGAATTGTGGTATTACATTTATTAAGGTGTTTTCTCCTTTTACAAATATGATCTAAACTTGATCATAATGACTGACATATTGTACTATGATATAAAAAGATGATGTGCTCACATGTAATGGAAACTGTAATTCCTTACTGTAGGAAAAGATGAGAACGTTTTTAGAGCGTATTAACCACATTTCTCTCTTTTTCTCCTGGAAAAGTGGACTTAGACTTTAGTCTAATTCTGCCAGGACTAATAAGTGGAAAACTGGACAAAATGTAAAAGATTTATGTTAAAAGCCTCAGGTAGTTGTAGTGAGCATTAGGACACTAACGGGAAAGGTTGGAAATCAGAGCCTGTGTTTGCCACTGTTGGGAGAGACACTTGAAAGGCAAAAACTGGGCAGAAATTTCAATGGATTCATTGGGCTAGAAAAATAAAAGGGACTTCAGGGGACATCTAAAGAGGGGATCTGTAAGTAAAGATGAACTGGAACATGACCAGTCATCTCAGGGTCCAAAGCATAGCATTTGAATCATTTCAATCTGTTTGAATAAAGCTCATTTGAGATGCTGGTGACTCTCACCAGAATGCCTCACAAGAGGAAGAATAAATGCAATTTAAAAATGATTCTGTAATTATGTATGGAAAGATGAGACTAAGTAAATCAACCAATAGAAATAACTGAAAGTAGAAAATCACAACCAAGCCTAACACATTTACATAAATGTACAAATGTAATTCTATAGTCCATGTTTGCCATTTTTTTCTTTAACTAGAATCATCTTGTCTTAGTCTACTAATATGAAGAATAGTATTAGAGATCAAATGGAATAGAGGCAAATATGCATTAAACCTACCAGTATTAGTTAACCATTTCTGAATTAGTTCTAATGTTTCATGGCTGGATTTAAAACTACTATTTAGGGTTTTAAGTGAGACATTAGAAGCTCTCAGTCTTTTCTGCATATTCAATGTTTGAAAAAGTATGAACTCATCTGCAATATAAATATTAGGAAAGCCTCATTCTAAGTAGATTCACAGATTGTTCAGTTTACAGGTTTGGTTCAGTTCCTTTGATTCTATATGCAAGTCTCCTGTTTTCTACTCCCACTGGTCCAAAAAACACTGAATCACAGTAAGAATCACACAGGAAAAGTTGTAGATCTACATAACTGCATGTAGTAAAGCTATGATTCTACGTTTGTGACATGGGTATTAATTTTGCCTATCAACAAATCAAACTCCCCTATTTCCCTTGTAGGAAAGATATTATTTTACTTGTTTCAGTGTTCATATATACATAACTTATAAAACAGTAATATATTAAATAGCTATTTTTTTATACCCGAACTCACGTATAATTAAAAAAAAAGGTTGGATAAAAGGTGATCCTTGCTTAGAAGGAACTATATTTAAAAATCCAGTAATTGTACTATGTCTTTCATAACACAAAAGAAACATTACACACACTTTTTGCAATTAGTATGTTGTTTTTTGTTTTCTAAATTAAATGTGATCATAATACATCAAAATAAAATTGGAATTTCATTTGAGTACAATTTATTGCTTGGAAGAAGAACAGGAGGGCTCAAGACACAGCTCAGTAGCAGAGTACTTGTCTAGCACGCATGAAGCTCTGGCTCAATCCCCAGTGACACCTAAAAGCCTTATTTTCACCATAAATATACAAAAGCTGAAAGTATAGAATTAATCTGTTTTTTAAATTTTCTAAAATGTAGTGGAAATGCAGTTGGGCTGTATTCTTACATCCATTTTCACATAAAGCACGTATAAAATTAGATCTGCTTCACAACAACCACACACTTATCTACAGGTCTAGAATCAATAAGCTTTGAAACTGTGCTTTTTTTATGTGCAAGTATATAGCAAACTAACTTGGACTCTAAATCTGATTTGAACTGTACATTATGTTTGTTTATTTGGTATTCATACTTAGGCACTTTACTACAGAAATATTAGTCTTAACCACCCCACATGCTTCTAAGAACACTGCTTACTCTAAATGAGACATCACATGCTCTTTAAAATCCAAGAAAATTTCTAACTTCTGAACACACTTAGGCCTATGAGTTTTAAAAAGAGACTTGTACTAGTTTCAGAAAGTCTGATGTTCACAAACTTACCAAATTCTCTTCTTTCTAATGTTATGATTTGGGGATCATCATCATAAATACCTAATTTTAAAAGTGGATAAAAATCAGAAAATTAAAACTTCCTTCATAAAAACAAATCACCACATAAGCAGTTATTCACTCTTGCCTTAATTACAAAAAAAAAAAAAACCCAGAGTATTAATTTTAAACTTCAACAATGTATAGCAACTAAGAAAAACCAGCTCCTGATGAAAAAAATCAGGAATGATAATACAGAGTAGTTTCTGGAGAGCACTTATCACAAGGGTCTGAGTGGCTAGGCTCTCACCTGATTTCATCGTCATAGGAAACCTTCATGTTTTAAAACAGTTTCTTTTAAAATAATTATAAACTCATGAGAAGTTGCAACAATAGCACAGATTTATGTACCCTTCATCCAGCTTCTCCTAAGGAGACATGTCATGTAGCTCTGTACAATACTAAAACCATGAAATTGAGTGCTATGCAGTTGATAATTAGACTACAGAACTCACTTAACTTCCAGATTATACGGTTTAATATGTGGTATCATTTAAAAATACTTGCTACTGCTTAAAACCTATGCCTACAAAGTTTGTAGAAGCAGAGACATTTAGTATTGAGTATAGTTACTATGGTTACAATCAATGTTAAGAGAGTTTTTCATTAACTATATGAAAATACACAAATAACATTAACAATAGATAAAGCACAGCAAAAGTCAGCAAACTTTTTCTGTAAAGGCCACTTATAAATATTTTGAGCTTTACAGGGCATAGTTTTTTTTTTCAAATCAAATAATTCTGCTCTCAGAGTCTGAGAAAAGTCAGAGTATGTAACAAATGAGCATACCTGTATTCCAATAAAACTATGCATATAATCAAGTAATAAGCCAGATTTGGCTGATGAAATTCAGATTGCCATCAACCAATAAGTATATTAAGCTGTTTGCTATACTTAAATATTATTTTCAAGAGAAAAATCAGTCTAGATAAAAACTGCAGGCAGAAATTTAAAATTTTATTTAATCTAATATAAAAGCACACTTGTTCTTAGCCTGCATTTGAAACTAATAAATGACAGTAAGAAACACCGGTTATCTGAATATACTCCTGTGAGTTTACCTTCTTTTTCTGTTTTCCCTTTGTTTCTGCCCTCTCCTCCTGCTTTTCTTTCTTATTCCCATCATCATTTGAAACCATTTTCAATAGAGGTTCCACATCAGAAAGATGGGATTTCTACTGAACAAGTTATTAAATTTTTAGAAAGTTGAGCGTTTGTTGGAAAATGTAATGCACTTAAAATTTTTGAAAGTCTTCAATATTTAACTTCTAATGCAACATTCAGTGTAAAACCTTTTGTTTTGTTAAATAACTGGTATCAATATTAAATATAATTTGACCAATATATTTTCATATTTGTGTAAGTAAATTTCTGCATACCAATTAACTTTCCTTTGGAATTCTACTCTCACAGTAAATTAAAAAGAGCTAATCAAACTGACACATACCAAATACACAATAAAACAGCAAAACAAAACTAATTTTTCTTTTGCGCATATTAAAAAATCAACTTCAGGGACGGGTTGGACTTCTTAAGTAATACACTCCCTTACCAAAATCATAACGGTAGTAGTTCCAGCTTTCATACTGGCCTCCTTGATTATCTTCAAGTCCTTTTTCTCCGTACTTATCATACTTTTTCCGCAGATCTTCATCTTTGAGTACTTCATATGCTCTATTTATTTTTAAAAAATCACCATGTGCATTTGGGTTATTCTGTTAAAAAATATTAGATATAAGCTATTTCCGATGTAAAAATCATAATGGTAGTAGTTCCAGCTTTCATACTGGCCTCCTTGATTATCTTCAAGTCCTTTTTCTCCATACTTATCATACTTTTTCCGCAGATCTTCATCTTTGAGTACTTCATATGCTCTATTTATTTTTAAAAAATCACCATGTGCATTTGGGTTATTCTGTTAAAAAATATTAGATATAAGCTATTTCCGATGTAAAATCAAAGTCTCTGCAGAACATACAGATTTAATTAATTCAGAGATTTCTGGATACTGGACACCAACGTAAGAAAGTGCCAGTACAATGTGGTATGAATCATTAAGATGAAATAAGGAAGTACTTTTCTAAGGCACTACTACCTCCGAAACAAAAGTAAGGATGGGTAATACAATTTCTCATTAGTAGATAAAGTATCCAAATAACACTAACAATGGATATAGACCAATAGAATTTCCTTCTAAAAAATGCAGCCAAGAAAAAGCTGATTAATAGACTCTTGGAACGTTTAAACAGTTACAAACAAACAGGCTTGAAGGTCTTTGTCCTATTCGAGCAAAACCAAATCATTAACTAAAAATGTGTTCCACTCTATCAGATAATAGGGAATAACAGCAGAGTAATAATTCAAAAGTGGACTGAAAATGTTAATTTTCTACTGTTTCAAAAAATTGGCTTAGGAAGCTGCTTTCATCTAAAAAATCTAGGTGTAGGCCTACCATCTTTCCTAAGAAAAACTAAAAAAAATCACACTCAGAAATTGTAAAACAAGTTTGAAAAAAAACTATAAAAATTTTTTAACATAGATCTCGAGGCAATATCCAACTAAGTTTATAATGCTCAGCTTTATATAAACTGAAATAATACCATTTAAAAATTTATACCTAGAAAAGAGAAAATTATGTCTTCATTAATGATAGCTAAATATCAAGAGTAGCAAAAATTTTAAAATACTGTAAAATTTAAAACTAATGTTTTTAAAGATTACATTATTGGGAACACAATCAAATCTTTGTAATTAGAAATCTATTTGGAGCGCTCAAGCTTTAATTTATAAAACTTTGTAAATCATCTGTGAACATGTGCACTGAAAACGGTCAACGTTGTCATGCTATTATTCGCCACTCTCGTCATTTCTGTAAGACCTGAACTCTAAGGAAATATTTCTGTTCTCAAATGCTTGATCTTAACCTGTCTTGCTATGAAACTACTTCACAGACATGGTTCAGGGTTAATGCCCTTACTACCCCTTACTACTTCTGTTGGAAATGAGTTTACAATTAAGAGGGAATTATATATTTGATATTGACCAAATCATTCCACTATTCCAAACCAGAACATTTTGCTTCTTCTGTTTTCAGCATAACAGATGAATTCTTTATGAGGTGGTGGGTATCAAATCAAGAGCCTTGTATATACTAGGCAAGTGTACCATGGAGCTAAATCTCTAGTCCCTGAATTATAATTTTTGACATCATTATTCTTAAGAATTTTGAACACACTTAAAAATAATTTAAGTAAATATTGAAACATACTAAAATAATTAGACACCTAAAAACAAAATCTTACCTACCGGGTTTTTATCAGGATGTAACTTCAGTGCTAATTTCTTAAAAGCTTGTCTTATTTCTCTACTGCTTGCAGTTTTGGACACGCCAAGTAAACTGTAAAAATCCTGATCTGAGCCCACTAAAACGGCCGT